GTTCAATGGAACCAAGCTTGTTGAGATTTTGGTTGGGAGTCAAGTCAGTAGCGAGTTCAAAGCCAAGGCCTTTCAGAATCATCTTAGGGCAGTAGGTAGCCAGTTTGGCACAAAGGCTGATGATTATACGCATATCAGCACTGGTGTACTGCTTATTCAACGTGCCTAGAAAGATGACTGCGCGGTAGTAGCCAGTACTAACCAATCTTTCAAGTGTCTGTATAAAATCAAGTCCATCTCGGCCCATAGGCAATCGGTCCTTCTTAGGTGTCTGTGCAACTAGCAGAAGTTTATCGGCGATCACCTCAAGACAAAACGGATAGGGAAACATAGTAATATTCTTGGCCAAGAGACTCGATAGACTTGCCTTTGTCATATATGAAGACTTGGTGTATATAGATTCTTGAATAAGCAATAAAATCCGATCGCTATTAGGCTGATTCTTCTCTTTCTTACTCTTCGCAGAGCTCTCATAATAAACCAGGTCAACGCTGCTATTTATAAGGGCATTCGCTGTCTTGTATTCATAAGGAGCGAAAGGATGGGATAGATGGAAGGATGTGCTATTGGCAATGATGTCGGTATAAGTAATCAAATGGGACGCGGAGGTCGTGGATAGAGAGAAAGATAGGCGCTTGCATTGGAATCCGAGAAAGTCATCAGGGCATATGGCATTGTTAACTAGTTCAAATGTCTTCGCGCTCTGATGGTTGTATATAGTAGGTGGCAACTCAACTAAGTGTATATAGTTGCATTGAAAACTCCCGAGCATCTGAAAGATAACACGAAGAACATCTATCGGCATTGTAACTGTGAATCCATCAACAATGACTTCATTAGCACTAAACCGTCCAATTAATGACGGGCTCATGATATCAGTAGAAGAACTAACCAAACTAGCAATGCTTGTACAGGAAAGCCTTATCTGACTGTTGTAGAAATGGATTGTAAACAGTTCGGATAACGAAAACTGGTTGCGTAGGGTCAAGAAGCGCAATGATTCGTTAGGCTTAGAGCTAGTCGACGAAAAGACAGCATTAACAAAGTTGTCCACCATTGGTTTATTGACACCTGGTTCGAGTAGAGACATCATACTGTTTTGTAGCAAAGCCGCACCATTTATCCAAGAAACCAACGACACTAGCACTAACACGAGCATTTGCCTTCTTATTTGAGATAGCATGGAAGTATGTTAAATTTTAGCTATCTTGGCATTTTATTTAACCTTTTCTTATCAGTAGTGATACTTGTCTTGGTTGGGTCATGAAACTACAATGTATTTAGTTAATCTCTTCTTATTTATACCTTTGTTATCGTAAAGGGTAAATAAGATTCTAATCTACCAAATAAGATAAATAAGACGTTTGATTCAATAATATCAATTCTTGGTATGAACCAATTTGTAACATTTATGTCATACAGCAACTCTAACCCCAACTCAATACTAACACAAGCCCAATCCAATCCAACCCAAATTATAACTTGATTCTAATTCTAATTCTAACTTAAAATCAAATGGTAAAGATAGGGTTTATTTTAAGAAAACACACAGATGCTTAGATAGTTTAGATAGGCTAAACAATAGAAGAAACATCTAACAATTCACTCAACACCGCAACACAACAAATAGCAACACCAGAGCAGAGTATGTATAGGTATGTTATCCAGCTCATCATCCATGTATATTAATTTAAGAAGACCCTTACGTCTGGCAGCCTCCTCATTCTCATTTATATCGTGAAAGCACTCGCCGCCCAGAGGATTTAATCTCTTAATATACGTTGGCTTTAACTTATCATTATTCTGAGGCTTTGAACCCTTACTATTCGGAAGCCCCGGCTTATCAGCCTGAGCTAGAGAGCCTTCGTTTTGACGTAGCAAAAGAGTTCGGCAAGTCTTGCCGCGTAGTTGTTCTCTACAAATCAATAGAATGGCGAAGCGATCGCGTGAAGGCCAATTATACGATTGTTGATACACTTTTGGGTCTAGGCTCGCTAGGAAGCTATGGTGGGTAGCAGTACTTAAACAAAGATTGCTGAATACTAGATGTATTGGCTGGCTAGCAAACATATAGAAGAAGTCTATTAGGCTTGTTAGGAGTGCGACTATGTCATCATCAAAACACTGGTAGATACAAACTTGGATTCCAAGCCACGGCAAATTCCAATCTTTTAGATTGGTCTGGTTAGTATTGGACTTTACAGACGTCCTTATAATTCTAGTCATTTCTGTAATTTGATCAATGAGAGTTTGAACATCTGGGTCTTGTTGATAGGTTACATCTATACATTCTCGGGTCAGCTTGTCTAGGAAACCACGGAGTCTCATGGAACGGCGGGCCGTTTCAAGGCTTTTGTCGTCACATTGAACGGTGGAGAGTTCTTGGTAGGTCCAGAACATTATCTTCAAGAGTTCTAACAAGCTATAGTCCGGCTCATCATTATCATTCGCTTTATCAACGATTTGAGGCGTGCAGTATAATTGATGAAGCAATGGATTAAGAGATTCTAATGGCCCAATCGGCATGGACAGGATAGCTCGGTCTATACGAAAACGTAGTTGTAGTTGAAAAGGCGTCTCATTGGAAGCATTGGCACTAGTTGTTGAATCTAGCGTAGTTGTTTGGCCAATAGGACTATCGCTGGCGGCTAAGCCATTGTTACTAGAGTTAGTCGAACACTCGGGATTGCTAGGGGAAGGATTGCTGTCATTAATATCATTGCTACTGGATAGAGGGACCTTGGCAGGAAAGACGAGTTTTAGTCTGTCAAGGAACGAATTACAGTCATTGAAAACAAAGCTGTGATCCAGATCGAGTACGAGCAGCTGGGCAGGATCCAAGGTTTGGGCAAGGTAGAGGATTAGGTTGTCAGAACAATTGACTAGTTCAATGGAACCAAGCTTGTTGAGATTTTGGTTGGGAGTCAAG